TGTGTGTGTGTGTGTGTGTGTGTGTGTGTGTGTGTGTGTGTGTGTGTGTGCCTGTGTGCGTGTCTGTGCCTCTGTGAATGTCTCTGTCTGTATGTTTGTGTTCACGTCTGTGTGTGTCTGTGTCTGTGGTTGTGTGTGCCTGTGTGTCTCTGTGTGTGTCTGTTTCTGTGTGTGTCTGTATGTATGTGTCTGTGTAAGAGGAGATCACAACTCCTGCTTCCGTGGGTCCAGAGCGTTCTAATTTGATAGGAGTACTGACCGCAGTATGGAAACAAATATAGTGATTGCCGGGACCGGACTCCGCCTATAGGGAGCGGAAGTGCGCAAGAATTGTCACTTTTGGCTTAGGGCATTCAAGTTTGGCAGGAGTACAGGTAGCAGGATGTGAATTCTTGTAGTGGGTAGCAGTACCTGACTCCGCTTGCAATAGGCGGAGTTTAGCGAAAAAAAAATTATAACTCCTTGTCTGGTGGACCTGGGGCGTCCTATTCTTATAGGAGTACTGCGGCAGTATGTGAACACTGACATAGGAAATACCTCAGAAGGCAAGATCTACTCATCACCTAAATCCTAACATCATTGCTGTTTACGATCTAGCTTTGACTCTCTGATATGTTTCATTTGACATTACCGATAACCCAGTGATAGGGTCCGTTACAGGTATCGCATTATGAGTCGATGAAAATTGGTTTACTTTTTGCTATCAGGTTACGACCGCTCCAGTAATGAAATTTTTTCTTTGCTCCGATATCATTCCATGTAGAACTTATCCGACTGCTAATGATCTTGGATTGTCATCTGATGTTATATCCATAAGGAAAGGAAGCCTCATTGATGAAGACATTTGATAATGGTGTTATTATGACTTGACAACATTTGTGACTACTTTTAGAGGCATTAGTTGCCAACCAGTTGAACCCTTGCCAACCATGTGTCATGGTTTTCAAGACTAACAGAAAGATATCGAGACATCCAACAGAGGCATGATCCTCGGCTCATTTTAAGTACCACTTGCATGCCCTAATGGTCCTCTGTCGAATTTTTGGGTTGCAAAAAGTATCATTTGTTCCAAGTACATATAGAGAGGCCGGTTTGATTATTGCAACTCTGTTATAAGAAGGAGGGAAGCCCAGCGTCAGGTGGGCGACCCGACTGGTGAAAGAATAAAGGATAAAGCTTTTGGGTGTTGGTCAATCCCGTTTGAGGGATATGATCCGACCTGCTACTTCCATTAAAATCGCAGTGGCGTATTGAATGCGTTTGTGGCTTATACAGCGACTTACGGTAGCCAGCTCATGTACGAGTTAGTACTTTTACCCTCCCATACGAGTCTGGTACCAAACAACCGACTCCGTAGTGATGGAAGGTCCGGTATGCCGGGACGGATATTAATCTGGGATTCGGAACAGTGACCATGCGTGTGTGAAAGCGCGCCACTTGCTACAATACCCACCCTGAACGTTCAAAAAAAAACCCGAAAAAAATGCGTTTTCGCGTTTTTTTCTCGTTTTTTCTCTGTAACTAAGTTGATTTACAGTTTTTGTATAAAAAACGAAAAAAAAAAACGAGAAAACGCGATTTTTCTCGTGTTTTTTGAACATTTAGGGTGGGTATTGTACTACACGTCCTTTGTGACAATAGCCAGGAAAAAATGCTTCACTTCCAACCAGATGTACTCACTGGTTACCAAGCATTGTATAATGAATTCCCATTTTGATAGTCAAGTAGTATGTCTAATCTTTCAATTGTATTCACACAATTACTATTGGAAGTGAGTCGAGAGAACGAAGTGTCGCAATTTTTCGCAAAAAAACTCACTCGCTCATAGTAATCTTTATAGGCGACGTAAAGTGGAATGCAGTGTATAATTTGCTGATGAAGTGTGAGTTTAGTAAACTGGCGGTGATCGTATACAGGCGTGCGTCGTTCGTAGTGTTGGACAGGGGCGTCTATAATGTTATTATCTCTGTCGAGAGCAAATAGGCTTGAAAAAAAAATTTAACAAGAATATATAATTCCAGTCATCACCGAAATTCTGCCATTTGCCGAACCATCTATTGAACCTTTACTTGGATGACGTTTTGAACTTCACATGACCGAAGAAGGGAAAGGCGATAAGTGGTATTGAATAGCCCGGTAAAGTAAGATTGGACTCTTGAGAGAAAGGAGAACGGTCTGAATGCCTACATTGCGTATTCCGTGTACACGGTGCTAGGCACAGATTAATCTTATAATTAGTAGGGTATCTTAAAAACATTTTTTATCGTGAACTAAGCCTTCAAATCTGAACATAGAAGAGGTAATTCTCAAAATGCAGGAGAGACCGATCAATTCTATGGATGCTAGGACTTATGGATATCAATACTAAGGGACCAGATTCTGAAGGCAAAAACATTGTAAAATACCAGCCTAGCGTGGACGAGCTTGTAAGGGAATGTGAAATGCTTTTCATGTAGCCCCTTCTGATTCAAAGTTTTATTCAAAACAACTTGCGAACTCATTGTTCTGCATACTTGGAGGTTAGCCTGAATTTTCAAATAATTAGACACTTCTGCAGAGAACTAACCTCTTGTGAGCAGTTCAATATCCCCCATGTGATAGATCTTTTTCGAGTAATTGCCTTCTACCACAAATTCGGCGGGAATTTCGTGAGCGAAAAAGTGCTGAATCAAAAGCTCAGTGCGGGAATTGACTATGAAGTAGTTAAAGCCTACCTTCTGATCGAGACCTTCATAACCACAGTTGTGTTCGATATATATGTACGGATCGATGTCGGTAACCTTAACACTTAGTGGACACATTGGTATAGGGCTAGGAGCGCCGCTTTCTCGGTTTAAGCTAGAAGTTCTTATCTCAGAAGTACATGCGTTTTTATGGGTAGAGATACATACAATTCACGAGGTATTGGGTCTTATCAGACGATAATAGAAGTGGTAGTCCAAACCTCCCGGTGCGTATAGTGCAATCTCTACAGCCCCTACAACATCGTGGGAGCTCATCGGTGTTGCGTAATCGGTGAGAACCGAATTGTTTATTAGGAAATTTAGAAAGCGTCCGCCGAAAGTTTTACAAAAGTTCGATTTTTCTTGGAATGTTTAGAGATTTTATTTTTAAAAACCCATGAAAGATCCTTCCTTACATCTATATATGAAGGAGAATATCTGAAAATTTCCTTTTATCGCAAAAAGCTCATTTACGACATTTCGCTTAGGCTTCGAAGTGTTAAAACAAGTCGTGCTCAGGACGGTATGTCTAAGGGGTTTTCAGAGCAATTCAACGGTCTAGGAATGTCCATGGACCTCCCATCGCTGAACCCCATCGACGACCCTATTTATTACTTTCCAAAGTACGGAGCCTTTAACGAAAATACCATACAACTCCTTTTTTCTTCACAACTTTCAAAAATGATAGTACAAATTGAAACGTTTCATTTCCCATTGTCATAACGAAAAAGAGAATCAAGTTCTTCGATCACCCAATATACAAGTTAGGGCTTATCCACTCATACAGGTCTGCTGCAGTTGGACAAATTCCATGGAATGGAATACTTGGTTTGTTTGAAGGCACAATCAACGATATTTTTGAGGCATACTTTCCAAGATGACTAGAGGAAAAGAGGAAGGGCTTATCCACGAAGAAAAGTGCTGGCGGAGAATAGAGCTGCCAATGAACGAGAAATTTCGGTAAATGCGCGAAGAGTCGTACTGCTAAGGAAGTAGTAAAATAGAGGTTGTATGAAAATACCATACCGGAACTGGATTGGAAAAGGCATGTGAAGGAAATCTCAGTTTTCGCAATTGCGTAGAGAGCTGACTACAATGAGCCAATAATAAACAAAACTGCCTTCCCCTGCCACCATTGGTCACGATCTGTCCGAATTTCTAACATAGATCTCCCTTGAAAATGATGCAGCCTCTACTACGCTGGCAAAACTCGTTCACCTTTCAGTAGGTGGCCGATACAACCTTCGAGCACTTTCACGCCCTACCTCGCCATTTTCCGATGTGACAGCAATACACATGGTTTACGGGGAGGGCATAAATCCATCCTTGGGGAAATCACAGAAACTGTATTATCGTGGAGTACGCCTTTCAGTAGGTATCTAGCGAAATATGAGCGCTGATGTATGGGTGGTAACGGCCATACATTATTCTAAATTATCCTGTAGAGCAGAAGATAAAGCGAGAAAGACTTAAGAGACATAGTAAACCTATTAGTATTGTAATAACACAAGACGACGTATGCTTGATTACGGCGAGGATCCATGATTGGTCTCTGCTCGAACATAAAGAAAACTTCTTTAGAAACATTGAATTTTTTGTTTCGCGGAGAACGTTTCGAAATGGCATTTATTTGTACGAAACCCATCCTCTTCCAATAACTAGACAATCCCCGTTGCCTATGCATTCTTCCAAGTTCGGCTAACGCCAGTTTTTCAATATCTCTTTTATGATCTTGTATGGGCAAAGATCAAGTCTTGTGCGATCCAATAAAATCAGTAAGATGGAGATGTTTTTAAGCCGTTGAAATTCCTCTAGAACTTATGTTTCCAATCAAAATCTTGATACGACAAACACTGTTTGCAATGGGCTTAGAGATAGGCAAGACTATTCATTCCTATGGGATTTTTGTTGTTTAGATGAATAAGAATGAAGGATGGAGTTTTTCGACTTGACCGATACCGTCTGAGTGATGCACCCCCGCATTCGACATCAATTCACGATCGTTGTGGCCCATGATTGAGTATGTTGCCTATACAATGATTTGTGGTGGCCAACTGATGTACAAGCCATCATTTGCCCTCCCTGACGTGTCTGGTACCAATCAACCGGATGGATTTCAGGCTCAGTTGGCTTAGGCGAAAATCGATCCGGGAGTCGAAGCCGTGAACATGCGTGTGTGATAGTGCGCCACTCGCCGCTACATAACCTTCGTCCATGGTAGAAGAATAGCGATTTTTAATCCTGGATGGGCCAACGTTTCAGAGAATATAAACGTCTTCAATTTCAGTTCGATTTTCTGTGAAAAGGAAATGAGTTTAGTCACCACACCTTTTCAACTCATGCTTTTGGAATTGCTAAATTGGATACGCCATGATCCTAACACAAGGCTATCTACAGTATCTAATGAATCATGAATATCACTACTGTATTGAAACGATGAATTTATAAGCTATCCAACCTCTGTAGTATAGCCTCGAACGCAAAACACACCGCGATCGTCAGCAGTAACGGAACCGAGTAGATCGTCATCGTCAAATAAAGGTGCTGAAAATGCAAATAAAAAATCTAAAGGATGAAATGTTGTATAAATAAAGGAAATTAGAATATGAAATAAAAAAATTTGACAACAGCTGTAACGTATGTGGAGGTTCAACAATGATTGATTGTTCGTAGCGCACTCTTACCGACTTTTTGGATACATTACAAAAGCCATTTTTTTGTATGTGAAGAAATGTTCTTATGCGCAGATGAACCAAAAACTGCCCGGATTACCCGTACACATCTTTATTGGCTTTGCCTTACTGTACTCCAGGTCAGGGAAAGTGGAAAAGCACGGTTCAGCCTGAACTTTTTACTCATTCGTAGTGTACTTGTACCAAACTGGTCTTCGAATAATATGGAAAATCGAAAAAGGAGAAACCCAACTAACTCTGATCACTAGCTGCTTACTAATTCAGATTGGAAGGAGTGAGTACCACTGACACGAAATTGAGCAATGATTTCTGATAGATTTAAATTATGCCAGCAAAAAAAAGAACTGCTACTAGCTGTTGAAATCAGTTTATGGATGAAACGCCATGCAAGACTGACAAATACCTCAACGGCTAACTTTTCTGCGAATCTTCTTCGGAGCCCGGATCATCTCAACTCCCTACAAAACCTTCGAGGTCAACCTAATCATCACACAATCCTAGGCAAAAAGAGAAGAACCGGTCCTCCCTGATTGGCAGAATCGGCGCTCTCTGATTGATGGTAAAATCGTCTTCTTACAGTTCCAAGGCTTACCTCATATATGGTTCTCCTCTTCCCGGTTCCCGATCTCACTCTATATATGAGGTCAATCCGTGACCAGGATTCGAAAATGCCTCCAGGGTCTTCATCACGGATTTTTGTGTTTCATGCGCTAAGACCTCGCCACTGACTCCAAAATCGCCTCCATTGTGAGATTACACCCTATGACAGCCTAAGACTGTTGACGGTAACGTCCTAGCCTTTCCATTCGGATGTTCTTCAAACCGTACTCTGTCAACTTCATGTGGAGTTATAGCAATGATGTGGTTTCGATAGCAGTGCCGATGTTCATCGAGAGCTGTACGAGGACACTACCAGTTGTCCTTATAAAGTAGTCGATGTAGCTGAATATTGAGGGGAGGGGTTCATTTCATAAACGAGGGTCAATTCTTGAAGTGGGAAATCAGTTATCCATCTTCCCTCCTACATTATGCCATCATCAGAAGCAGACCATTATTTGTTGGGTGCATTTCCTATAGTCCTTCTAGAAAGAAAGGCTCGTACTTCACCGATTTCTGTCCTGTCACTGCAGTACTTGCCTCAACCACAAAGCGTAGTAGATTGGGAGGAATGAAGCTTTGCTCATATAATCGGCAAGATGGGCTTCAGGGAGCCCAGCGTTTAATCAACTACATATGTACTTGTTTTGACTTGATGTTTTTGTTAACTGCTGTTTTAACGCCGCAGTGCGCGAAGCGAAAGTCTCACAAGGTTGGCGATTTGTGGGCAAAACTCCAGTCTCGGACGGGACTCGAACCCGCACTTGTCCTTTCCGGGGACCGTGCTCTTATCCCTTACACTACCGAGACCCCACTTGCCCTCGCCTTCTTAATGGCTTATATGCCATAGCTTATCAGCACTCACACGTACAACGTGTTGAGCCGGTCGGCCGATATC